ACCACTCCCTTGCTTAAAAAGTAAAACCTTTGGCCATGGCTGATGTTACTCAGTGGTTAAAGCATCAGCCTGCGCACCGGAGGGTTGCTGGTTCGATTCCCAATCAAGGGCACGTACCTGGGTTGCAGGTCTGATCCCCAGCCCGCCCTGGTTGGGGTGCGTGTGGAAGGCAACCCATCAGTGTGTCTCTGTCACATCAATGTTTCTCTCTCTCCCCCCAACCCCCTGCCTTCCACTCTCTCTAAAATCAGTGGAAAAAATATCCTCACTCCTCGGGCGAAGGTTAAAAAAAAAAGAAAACCGAAAACCTTTGTTCCCCACTTATTGACTGTGGGCTGAGGTCCATCCAGGCTCTGAGCCTGCAGTGGAGACCCCAGCCCCCCACCCCTTGCTGAGTCCCAGCTGACTTTCTTTCCAGCTCCTCCCTCGCCCTTGCACCTGGTGTGACTATAGCATCTACCCTGGGGTGCCCTCATGCTCCCTCTTGCTGCTGCCTCTGTTTACAAGGCCCCCTCATTATTAGCTCATTTCTGCTCATCCTATAAGACTCAGTTCATTAACAGTGGATGTACCCTTTGACCCAAGAATTTGACTTCTAGAATGTACCATCAGATATGCTCACTTGAGTACAGAGGTATGCTGTGCCTTTCAGCACTGTTTTGAATAGCAGAAGATGGGAAACAGCCTAAAGTGCATGGTGGGGAACTGCTAAAGTGAGCTGTGGGACACCAAGTCCTACCACGAGGTATTATTCGGCAGGTAAAATGGATGAGGCCTCTGAGAAGTAAGTGAAGAATAAGGGGAGGCGTGTCAGAACTGGTGCTGGAAGGTGGGTGTGCATAGGTGAGCCCCCTCAGGCTTGCACAGCAGAGGAGGGGGAGTGCTGAGGTCCAGGCTGTTGAGAGGCTTGTTGAGAGGCTTATTGGTCACCCAATACCTACCCCCTGTCCTTTCTGCTTTTGCCTTTTTAAATCATGTATTGTTTTTTCAAAAACATTATTTAATGTGAAAAAAAAAGTTTCGGCTTCAGTCAGCTCCTTAGAAGCCAGGCTGATGCTCTGTCCCAGGCTGTCCTTTTTGGTGCCTCTATGTCACCTGGGGTGACTGGTCGAATGTCTATTGTAATTGTGATGTCGCCCTGGAGCAGGCACACTTGTCTCAATACTCAGTGGGTTCCCAGTATGAATGTCTGTGGCCCCCAGTCCTTCTAGAAGCCCCTTGATGGTGGTGTGGTCCAGGAGTCTGTGGAGTGCCCTGCTGTTGCCAGCAGAGGGGTCTGGGTGCTTTCTGGAAGCCTCAGGGAGGCCTGGTGGACATGGCCATGAACACAGGAAGCCAGCTCAGCACTCCCAAAGTCTGACCAGGACCTTTGCGTACCAGAGGAGCAACAGTGGGGCATCCACAATGCCAGTGTGTCCCAGGTCTGCTCAGGCAGATCAGATGGCAGGGTGGGCAAGTCAGGGCAGGAAGGGGACTTCCTTTGAGTCATTCTGTGAGACAATAGAGGAAGCTGCAGTGGGGTAATCATAACCACTTCTTGGCCTGTGGGCGCTTCCTGTGACAAATCTCGCTGACCACATGTGCATTCTGAGCTTGTAGTCAACTTAACCTCTTACTGAGTTCACCCTTGCAGGCTTGTGTGCCTGGGGATACAGGGTCAGCGTAAAGGCAATGAGCTTTCTGTCAGCCCACAGCACACTGGGCCCTTTGGGGACGTGGATACTCTCTTGGAACGGGACATTGATGAGTGGGGGGCCTGGAAGATGGGAACCTGACACTTTTCCAAAGAAGAGAAGGCCTGAGCTGTGAGGCTGTCTCATGGGAAAGGAAACAGATTGGGATCGGTTGGGGGTTGCTTAGCTAAGGCACGTGTTAGCTTTAGAAAGTTCTGTGGTGCAGTGTTAGTGGCTGCCATGGATAGGGAGCCAGGAACCACTGGGCACGCTCTCAGCCACTCTGTGAGGGAGGGAGTACCCTGTACAGCAAGGAATCAAGGCTCAAGGAAGTAAGTGACCCAAAGAACACAGCCAGCACATGTCAAAGCAAAAGTTAAAACGTGGGCCTCTGGATCGTGCAATCTTCTGTGAGAGCTCATGAATTGGAGGTACACACTGAGTCTCAGCAGTCCCCACCAGGGTGTCACAGAAGAGCGGAGGTGAGGCCCTAATTTCACTCATCTCTGTCCTTACTCCCTGGTCCAGAACAGTCAGTGTCAGATGAATGTCAGCCTGGTTGAGGCAAAATTGTGATCTCTTGGCTGAAACATACAGCTCCAGAGAGAGATGTGCTGGACAACTGGGAGTGAGCAGGTACATGTGGGAGCCAGGGCAGCCTGGCTGGGAGGGAAGGAGAACTCCCTATTTATTTTGTATCTGTTCTGTGGTGGGAGCTTTCTCATTTCCCAGCTATGTGCCTGCCTGATGGTCATCAGAGGGAGGTGTTGGCTATCTCCCCAGTTCAGAGGTGAGGACATGTGCCAGGAAGAGGCAATGTGACTGCCCAGGCTCACTCAGTAGCTGGGAGTGGAAGCCTGGCATTGGCCTTACCCCAGCACCACCCAGAGCAGAGTTTCTACACTGCTCTGCCCCAGGTGTGCCTCCTCTGGCACACCCTTCCATGCTGATCTCCCACTTGGCTCTTCCCTGAGGCTGTGGTACAGGGATGGGGGTGATGGCTTGTTCACGTCCAGATTCTACCTTTGATGTTCTACAGGTTCTAGAGGAGGTGCTTCCTGCCCCACCCTGGTTACCTTCCCTGCAGATGGGTGATGGGGCAGGGCACTTTCTCTACCTGACTCTGATCTGGGCATCTGTCACCTATTCCGGTTTGTCAAAGGAGGGGTTCATTCCCCTCAGGCCAGGCTCTCACAGTTCTCTGCAGGGAGTGTGGTGGCAGGTGGGGCTAGCTGGTGTGTATCTTGGTGGCAGGTGGGGCTAGCTGGTATGTATCTTGGTGGCAGGTGGGGCTAGCTGGTATGTTTCTTGGTGGCAGGTGGGGCTAGCTGGTATGTATCTTGGTGGCAGGTGGGGCTAGCTGGTATGTATCTTGGTGGCAGGTGGGGCTAGCTGGTATGTATCTTGGTGGCAGGTGGGGCTAGCTGGTATGTATCTTGGTGGCAGGTGGGGCTAGCTGGTATGTATCTTGGTGGCAGGTGGGGCTAGCTGGTATGTATCTTGGTGGCAGGTGGGGCTAGCTGGTATGTATCTTGGTGGCAGGTGGGGCTAGCTGGTATGTATCTTGGTGGCAGGTGGGGCTAGCTGGTATGTATCTTGGTGGCAGGTGGGGCTAGCTGGTATGTATCTTGGTGGCAGGTGGGGCTAGCTGGTATGTATCTTGGTGGCAGGTGGGGCTAGCTGGTATGTATCTTGGTGGCAGGTGGGGCTAGCTGGTATGTATCTTGGTGGCAGGTGGGGCTAGCTGGTATGTATCTTGGTGGCAGGTGGGGCTAGCTGGTATGTATCTTGGTGGCAGGTGGGGCTAGCTGGTATGTATCTTGGTGGCAGGTGGGGCTAGCTGGTATGTATCTTGGTGGCAGGTGGGGCTAGCTGGTATGTATCTTGGTGGCAGGTGGGGCTAGCTGGTATGTATCTTGGTGGCAGGTGGGGCTAGCTGGTATGTATCTTGGTGGCAGGTGGGGCTAGCTGGTATGTATCTTGGTGGCAGGTGGGGCTAGCTGGTATGTTTCTTGGTGGCAGGTGGGGCTAGCTGGTATGTATCTTGGTGGCAGGTGGGGCTAGCTGGTATGTTTCTTGGTGGCAGGTGGGGCTAGCTGGTATGTATCTTGGTGGCAGGTGGGGCTAGCTGGTATGTTTCTTGGTGGCAGGTGGGGCTAGCTGGTATGTATCTTGGTGGCAGGTGGGGCTAGCTGGTGTGTTTCTTGGTGGCAGGTGGGGCTAGCTGGTATGTATCTTTTGGTTCCTCGGGGAAACAAGAGGAGAGTGCTGGATTCTGGGCCTATGTAGCCTGGAGCAACTTGCCTCTGAGGCACAAAGAAGTGGAATGACTTACCCAGAGTCATACTGCAGTGGCCCCTGGGGTTTAATCCAACTCTACCCTGTTGCAAACCTGGCTGTCCCCACACCAGCCTGGCTCTGTACATGCACATGCACTAGGTAACCTCAGAAAGGACATAAGTACATGCCTTTGGAACCCCCCTGCAAGGCTCTGGGCAGATGGTTACCAAGGTGCCAAGAAGCACCTTGGTGTTGGCAGCCAGCAGGGCACATGCCTGACTCAGGATCAGACCACCTGGGCTGTAGCCCTGTCACAACCACTTGCTGTGTGACTTTGGGTAAGTCGCTTCATCTCTCTGGGCAGCAGAGTCTACCTATAATATAAGGCTTGGACCAGATCCAGACTCAGAAAACTTTTTCTTTAAAAATGGTAAATTTTTTAGGCTCTGTGGGCGATGCAGTCTCTGTCACCAAGACTGAATTGAACCATTGCAGCACAAAGCAGCCACAAACAGTGTGTAAACAAATCCTAAGTGTGGTCATATTCCAATAAAACTTTATGTACCTAACCAGGTGGCAAGCCGGGATTTGCTCTTGGATGGTGGGTTGCCAGCCACCAAACTGGAGGATCCATGTCCTTCCATCCTTTGCTCCTCTAGGATCTGTAGCTGTGGTTGGTCCACAGTGGGAGCTAGACTCAAACTGTGAATCAGTCACCAGTCTACTTTGATACTGGTCAAGAAATTAGCATCTCTCAATTTTTTAAAAATCCTCACCCGAGGATATATTTTTATTGGTTTTAGAGAGAGAGAGGGAAGGAGGGGAGAGAGAAATGGAAATATCGGCTGCCTCCTGTATGTGCCCCAACCAGGGACTGAACCCGACCAGGGATTGAACCCACAACCTTTTGGTGTTCAGGACGATGCTCCAACCTGCTGAGCTCCGTGGCCAGGGCTAGCATCGTCACTTTTAATGCAGCTGCATTCCGTGACAGGGCCGGAGGGAATTTTCATTCTTTGGTAACCAGTTCTCTTTTTCTCTTTGTAGAATGCTGAGATGTATAAACTATCTTCCCAGCAGTTCCATGAGGCAGCTTCGAAAATGGAGGGCACAATAAAGTAAGAATTTGTTTATTGTTCTTCGTAAACTTTGCCTGTGTTTGTAAAAATTCCCACACATGGCTTGAAACCTGCCACCACCTGGCTGACTTCAAGTTTCTCTAATAACACAGAGGACCATCTGTTACTCAGCTCCCTCACCTGGCTCTGAGGCAGCCATTGGTCATCTGTAATTGGCCACATGAGCACTCACTTCTCCCCTAACAACCCTGCGCATGGGAGCAGGGCTGCGGCAGATTGGCAGGGCTGATCTAGGCCGGGTGTCCTGTGAGCTGGCCCAGGAGCTGAGCATCAGGCCCCCAGGGAAGTCAAGGAAGGGGTGCTGCTGGTCCTGCATTTGTGGAGGTGGTTGTCAGGGGGTGGGTCTGCTCCCTGTGGGCATCCCAGTGTGCCTGGCCCTGTGCCACAAGCTCTTGTATGCTGACACTCAGGGTGACCCCTGCTTTCCTCCACAAGGACTGGGGCTCAGGGACACTGACGGCTCACTCCAGTCGCACAACATTGAGGGTAGTGTTTGGTCCCCCATTCGGTCCCCCGTCTGTTGTGCTCCTGTGGGGAGGCCTCAGAGCCAGAACGTCGGGATGGGAGGTGCATGCAATGTGTCCAGTATAGACGCAGTTCCACTTAGTTTAGGGTGCAGGTCACGGGAAGGTCTGAGGGGTTCCTGTGGGGAAGGTTCTTTTGTGTGAAGATGGTCTCCAGGGACCCTGTAGACCTTCATAATGTAACTGGGGGCTCCGACCAACTCCCTCCTCCTCTCTCGTGGGTCTGTCTCTTTCAAGGGTGAGTTGAGGTGACTTCCAGGCAAACCAGTCACAGTGCGGAGTGGTGAGGGGTTGGGACTGGCACCACGAGAAGGAAACAGAAGGTTTGGGTGACTAGGAGGTGACACAGTTCTTGTGAACATGGCTGCTGATGAAAAACATGTGAGGAGCCAGGAGGGGCTAGGGGACAGAAGTGCACTTAGTACAGGCTCAGGGTGTATACAGGACACCTGAAGCTGGGGGAAATACCACCAGATTGTGGTAGAACTGACTAAACAGGGGGGTTGGGAAAGAGAACCAGTTATCCCAAAGAGTTCAAGTCCTGGAGTAGCAATAGGAGACTGGGAAAAAGAACTTTCCAGCCAGCAGATGGAGATGAGGAAGGGTTTTGTGCCTGTCCATTGGGATCCCACAGGGCCTGGGGGTGAGTGAGCACCATGAGCTGTGTGGACCCCGAGGAATGGAATGTTCCAGCTGCCCTTGCCGGGTATATTGGCCACCCCACACACAGAAGCCCCTGTCCTCACAGATGAGAGCCCATCCAGCTCAGCTGGGGCTCATAGATACTCAGAATCACAGTCAGTGAGAGAAAGAGGTTGAGAAGCAGTCACACCTCAGAGGTAGGTAGGTGACAGCCTTCCTAGTAGTGTGACCCCTGGACAGGGCAAAATCAGGATTGGCTCCTCACCCTGGCCCACCCCCTGGAGTGTCTGCGGTGCAGCGATTCCGAGTCCAGAGGCCCCTCCCTCTTTACCTGATCATGGAACCATCGGAGGAGGGGAAGCAGCTCTGGGAAGGAGCCAGGCAGCTTTAGTCACTGGACATGCATTTGGTCACCTGCCATGCGGCCCGCCGTCCTGAGAGTTGGGACTCATGGCCTCCTGGTCCCTGGCTTAGTGAATTTGACTGTACCATCATATTCTTTCTCATTCTCATATCCTCTGAAGGCAAAGGGGAGCTGTCGTATGAGGTATATTTTTAGTCTGAGCGAAGTGAAGGGTTGTTTGTTTGCAGCATCCCTTGATAATGACTTCCTTACTAAGCACATTACTAAATGATAGGTCCTCTGCAGGCACTTTAACTGTGTGCTCCCATCTACTATCGTTGGTTCCATTTCACTGATGAAGAGCTGAAGCTAGAGAGGTTGGCCACGGTCACACTTGGTTACCTGCTTGGCTGGGGTCAAGCTTAGCTGAGACTGCTTTGGAGCCTCTGTTTGTCTTTGCTTCCTCCCTTGAAGGCCCCCTCTGGACGTAAGATGGGCAGCAGGATGGAGCTAAAAGCCTTCCTGGGCTTTGGAGTCAGGGTGACCTGGAATCACACCTCAGCCTTGCTTCTCTGACTGGCTCTGTGCCCTTGGGCAAGTCACTTAACCTCTCAGGTTTCCTCATCTATAAAACAAAGAGGAGCAACCACTTTAAAGTGAGATGCCACATAGAAAGTGGACCTATGATGTCTACAGTTGTTGGTATAGTTTGATTTACATTCAAACCTGTAGAGAATTTTTACAAGTTTACTTGAGCCAAACTGATGACAATTGTCAGGAAGCAAACTATGAATTGAGAAAATGCTCCTGAGAATGGCAGTTTTGCTGCATTTTATACACTAGAATCACAGGAGGAGATGTAAGGAGCACCACCTGAAATCTGCTGGTAGATGAAGGGGAAGGGAGAAAGCAAACTGGGGAAATCTCTGGGACTGGATAAAAAAGTAAAACAGAGAGACACTTCTTTTACATTGGTGGGTACAGGATAGTTAATAATTAACCTTTACGGCACACAAAGATGGTATGTAGGGAACAGATAGCAATGAGGGTTTCTGTGCTCTCCTGCTCTGGCGCAGGGGGTTGTGCCCTGAGGGGTCTGGAAAGGGGGATTCCTCTGACATTTCAAAGGTATGTTATAGATGCAAAAAGATAACAGACAGGCTCACCCAAGGTAAAGATTGGCTGTTGTAAGGAAGCTACAGGCCTAAGACTTAACTATCTGCCAAGACCTGCTTTTACTTAGAAATTTTAATATTCAGAGCATCCTGGGTGGTTACTTTCAGTCTCTCAGTTTATCAGGTTTAGTAATGTGGCCCTTTTTTCGTCCACAGACTGTTACTAATAATGGCAGTCATTTGAATCACCTTTACAACACCTAGCTTGACATACCATGGAACAGATGTAATAAATTGAGTTTACTAAAAAAAACTTTTTTTTTTTAAATTGCCTTTTCCAAACAAATTAAAGTCAGTAGTGTAGAGTTAAAATTATCGTACTTAAACATTAGGGGTGGGGCAGAGTCCTTGATTGGGCGATTTCTCCCAATTTAAAAGTGATTGTAAATTGCATTGTAAATGCTACAGAAATAAGTGCCAGCTGCTGACAGCAATAATATTGGAGCGTTTCCTTCTTTTAGCAACTTTGAGTAAACTGAATGGGTACTTAGATGGTTAATTAATGTCCATGTATTCACACATTTACTTAACACACGTGTATAGGGTATCTACTATTTGCCAGGCACCATGCTAGGTGCTGGTGATGTAATGACAAACAAGACAGCTTCGGTTCTACCAGCAAGCAAGCTTGTAGCATTTGGGGAATGACGACCAGTATTTTTAAATTAATAGCACAAAAAGCAATTGCCCAAACAATGATTGATTACAATAATGAGTCCTGAAAGAAAGACAAAGTTTAGATTAAAAAGCCCATGTCTGAGTCCCTTAACCCAGACTTGGAAGTTGGGAAGGCTTCTAAGGAAATGGAGTCAGTTGACTCATGCAAAATGAGAAGTTGGCCAGAGGAAGGAAGGAGAAAGAGCATTTCAAATAGGATTACCTGTACCAAGGCCCCAGGGCAGGAAGTAATTTAGCATATTCAAGGAATTGAAAAGACAGTGTGGCTAGAGAGAAATGAATGAAGAGAGACATGGGTGAAGCTGGAAGAAGTCAGCAGAAGCCCGGGCAGGGTTTTACTTGTATCCTGGGAATAGTGAAATACCGTTTCAGCTTTCTTTCTTTCCTAATATATGCATTTGATGTATTAATTTCTCTGTAAACACAGCTTTAGCTGCACCCTACAAGTTTTGATACATTGTATTTTCGTTATAATTAAGTTCAGATTTTTTCTAATTCTGATTTCTTTTGGACTCAGCGTATTTTGAAATGCATTGCTTAATTTCCAAACAGTTGGTAATTTTCTAGTTACCTTTCTAATAATTGATTTCTAGTTCAATTTTGTGATTAGAGGTTTCAACAGAAGAAACATTCAAACCTGTAAAGAATTTTTGTGAGTTTATTTGAGCCAAAACTGTCTACAATTGCCGGGAGGCAAAATCTCAACAGATTAAGATAATGCTCCAGAGAGTGGCAGTTTTGCACCTTATTTTATGCATTACAATCAAAAGAGGAGATGTAAGTGGGTTACATGAAATCCATTGGTGATAGATTAGGGAGGCAGGAGAAAGCAAAGCAGAGAAACCTCTGGGATTGGATAAAAAGTAAAAAGATGGACATAATTCTTTTACTTAGGTAGGTGCAGGATAGTTACCAGTCAACAATGAACTCAGTGACAGCGAGGGGATTTGTGGTCTCTAGAGCGGTGCCTGTGCTTTAAGGGGTCCGAAAAAAGGAAAGTTACTTTGATATTCCAACGATGTGTTATCGTAGGTGCAAAAAGACAATAGACTGGCTCAGTTAAGGTAAAGATTGACCTTTGTCAGAGAAGATACCAGCCTAGCACATGACTACCCACCATAAACTGCTTTTAGTTAAAAAAAAAAAAAAAAGGTTTGATTTCGGACCACCCTTTGTGGTTACTTTAGGTCTCTGAGTTTGCAAGGCCACCACATAGGCCTCCCCTGAGCTTGTCAGGTTAGCATGAGGCCCCTTTTTGTCCACAGAGATACTCTAAACCCTCTTTTAAAATTTGAAACTTGGTTTATGACCAAGTTTTGGTAAACCTTCCATGTGCCCTTGGAAAGAATGTATATTCTGTTCATGGGTATAATCTTCTGTGTTTGTCTATTAGGTTCAGGCAGCCCATTGTGTTTAAATTTTCTGTGTCATTACTGATTGATGGAGTTATGGTTTCTTTCTGAGATCACTTTCCCTCTGACTGAAAAACTCATTCAGTATTTAGTTTAGTGCAGCTTTACTGCTGGTGGAAGTAGGGTTCTTGTCGTGTCACAAGAAAAAGCATTTTTGGGGACCCACAAGGGAGGATGAGGTTTGATAGTAAGATTTATTTGGGCG